ACGGGGCGCGGCGTGGGCAAGGAGGACCCTGCAGCTGGTCCCGCCGCCCCCTCAACGCCCCTTCTCTGTGCCCTCCATCCATTTTCGAGCTTGAATGGTGGGGGGGGCTGCGCCCCCGCAGTGCGACAGTGAAACATAGACAAATTCTAAAAATCACCCACCTCTCACACTCTGTGTCCATAAGGAAATAGTGACCGCCGCGTAAACGGGTGGGAATGGGGCGGATTGCCGTCAAGAAAGGGGGACAGAAAGATTAGTTTGGAAAGGATCCTGGTCTGAGGCCTTAAAAGCAATGGCGGCTGGGATGCAGGGGAGGTAGGGGAGGGAAAAGTTGGATGAGGAGGGCCCGGATTAAGGAAAGAAACCTCAGTCCACTCACCATGCAGCCCCTGCCCCAGTCTCCTGTCTGTCTGCAGGTCTGCCTGTCTGTTCCCAGCACTCTGCAAGGCTAGAAAAGGAGGAACCAGTCCAGAATCCCTGCAGGTCAGTGAAAGGGGGAGAGGTACTGGACAAGGATGGGAGTTGGAGGGACAGGTTTGGAGGGCACAGCTCGGGCAGAAATTTGAGGGCCCCATTGACCAGCCCCCCACTATGTATAATATATACACTCCCTGCCACTCTGAAGGTTGGTACAGAAGGTGGCGGGGCCTGCCCTGGAAGTGGTTGGCTCTCATGTACAGGAGGAACGGTGTGGTAAAGTGTGTCACAAGGCACACTAAGAAGGCCAGGCCAGGTCAGGGAATCCCTGACAAGGGCGAGATGCAAGTGCTATTCGGAGCTGCATTCCACCCCCAGGCCCTCAGTCTCTCTTGTCTACTCTCCCCACCCCACCCCACCCTCCCAGGACAGGAAAAGGAGGAGACATCTCAACATGGAAAAACTCTGCAATGAAAATGAAGGAAAGCTGGAAAGCGAGGGAAAGCCAGAAGATGAAGTAGAGCCTGAAAATGAAGGGAAGTCAGATGAGGAAGAAAAGCTGAAAGTGGAGGGGAAGTCAGAACATGCGCGAAAGCTCCAGAATGAGGGACGACCAGAAGATGAGGGATCACCATATGGTAAGGGGAAGCAAGAAAAGCAGGGAAAGTCTGAAGCCGAGGGAAAACCATATAGTGAGGGCAAGCCCGAATCCCAGGCAAAGCCAGAGAGTGAGCCACGGGCTGCTGAAAAGCGCCCGGCTGAAGATTATGTGCCCCGGAAAGCAAAAAGAAAAACGGACAGGGGGACGGACGATTCCCCCAAGAACCGTCAGGAGGACTTACAGGAAAGGCATTTGGGCAGTGAGGAGATGATGAGAGAATGTGGAGATATGTCACGGGCTCAGGAGGAGCTAAGGAAAAAACAGAAAATGAGTGGCTTTCATTGGATGCAAAGAGATGTACAGGATCCCTTCACCCCAAGGGGGCAACGGGGTGTCAGGGGAATGAGAGGCGGAGGTAGGGGCCAAAGGGGCTTACATGATATCCCATATCTTTAATGCCTTTGGCCTTCAATTCTGACTCCTCCAGTGAAAATGTTGCTGACCCTGCTTTCCCTGGCAGGCATTTGCCAGGCTATGTGCTTTAACCTTAAGCTGATACTTTGCTTTAGGTGTCACTCTTGTTACCAGCAGCCTTTTGACCCAACTACAGTGCTCTCTGTGTTTCAGTAGGGGATTTTTGCCCACGTGCATGGAAGAGATGTTCATGGTACACTGTAAAATAACAATAAAGGAAAAACAGTTTTCAGAACCGCATATACAGTATCAGCCCATTTTTGTAAAAATATAAATGTATAATGCATTTGTGCACAGAGAAAACTCTGAAAATGTGTGCACTAAAAAATAGGCAATGTTTTTTCCTGCAAGGTAGCCAGAAAATAGGTCTTGCCTGCACTCAGAAATGAGCCCAATCACCTAATGGTTAGGAACCTCCATGCCATTCCTCTGCGGTGTGCTCATCCCCATCTCTTTCCTCTCGTTGTAACCATGTCACTGGGCACTGCTGTCCTCTACTGTCCTATGGCTCCCACCACGTGTAATTCTTTTCATTTTCTTTGCTCACTCATCTCCACTTTTTCTTAAGTGATGTGGATTATATTTGTCATAATTTTAAAAATCCAGAAGTCAATACATGATAAACAATTGAAATGTTCAGTGAGCTTATGCAAGCAAAGAAGACACTTTAAATTCCTGTGGTAATAATGTAAAATAAGTGAAACATTACTTCTGGGACTCATAGCTAGAGGAATCAACTTGACAGTTTTAACAGATCCAGTGCTCTGAAGGTCAGTCTTGTCACCTGTGAAATGGGACTAAAACTTGCCTCACAAACTGCTGAGTGGATCAGATGAGGTCCTGAGTATGTGAGCTGTGTTGGGCTGGCTCATTTGTAGTAGTAGGACCCTGGACCTTGTCAGATGCTCAGGGGAGGGCTGAAGGTAGGTCTCGCCTGTGCCCAGGAACAAGTCCAAGTAGCTGAGACGAGGGTGCTACTCCTCTTTGGATACTACCATATCTGCTGAGCACCCCTGTTCTGTGCCCTGTACCCACTGCCTACAGCTATTAATATGATGGAGTCTTCATGGTGGCAAAGCCACTCTGATTTCCTGTAGTTCCCAAAGGGCCACAGCCCCTATTTGACTCCTACTGGAGTGTGGATAAACCCCCTCTCCCAGCTTCAGAGTTGTACCTACCCAGGAGGTACTATCCCAGGCCTGTTTGGGCTCCATGGTATTACATAGTTCTTAGCAAGGCAGTCATTAACATTTTTAGTTCATTTTATGTTTGCTTAGTTTCTTCATAAGACTTCTGATATTTTGGGTCAACTGAGGGTTGTATACTGAGACAAATCTTTGGACCAGATAATGGATGGTGATTTGAACTGAACACCACACCACAGTACCCCAGGGAAATCATATCCAAATTTACATACTTTTTAGGGGGGTAGGTAATTAGGTTTATTTATTTATTTATTTTTAGAGGAGGTACTGGGGATTGAACCCAGGATTGTCCATGCTAAGCATGCACTTTACCACTTGAGCTATATCCTCCCCTCCTTACATACCTTTCTTAGTGTGAATTTTCTCTCTAAAAAGTGTCCTAGCTGGTCCACTATACAAAATCAAGGGACTTGTCCACACATAATCAGAGAGGGTTACCCAACTGAATTTCAAGCTGAAAATATCCCTTCCCATTTCAATTCCAACTGAAAGGGGTAATAATGCTCTTAAAAATATTAAAACTCTCAGAATATAGCCAATATTTATAACAACTGTAAATAGAATATAACTTTTAAAAATTGTGAATCACAATATTATACACCTGTAACTTATTTAATATTGTACAGCAACTATACTTCAATTAAAAAGTCAAACAAAAAACTCTCAAATGTTAGACATTTTTATTTAAACCACTAGTATGTTCCCTTCCCCAAAGACTTATTCATCCTAATATCCCTCACACTGTACTTGACACATATACTTAATAAAGTATGATTGAATCAGGAGCCCTGAGTTAGAAGAGATGTTCATGGATTAGAAGACTCAACAGTGTTAATATGGTAATTCTCTCCAAAACTGACCTATAAAGTCAATGCTGTCTCAATAAAAATCTCAGCAAACTGCGATTCTAAAAGTTATATGAAAAAGCAAAGGACACAGTGTAGCCAAAATATTTTGAAAATGAAGAACAAGTTGGAGGAACAAACTCACTGTCTGATTTCAGATCTGACTATAAAGCTATAGTAATCAAGACTGTATAGTTTTGGCACAAAGATAGACACATAGATCAATGGAATAAAACAGTCCAAAAGTAGACCCACATATATATGGTCAGTTCATTTTTTAAAAAAGTCCCAAAGGAATTCAGGAGAGAAAGAAAGATTTTTCAATAAATGATGCTGGAACAATTGGATGCTGTCTTGATCACTTTCAGCTGATATAACGAAAATTACCACAGACTGGGATTTCTCACAGTCCTGGATTCTGGGAAGTCCATGATCAAGATGCTGGCAGATTTGGTGTCTGGTGAGGGTTCAATTCCTGGTTCATAAACAGGTGTCTTCACATGGCAGAAGGGGCAAGGGAGCTCTCCTTGGGGTCTCTTTTATAATGGAACTAATCCCATTCATGAGGGTTCCACCTGCATGACCTAGTTGCCTCCCAAAGGCCCCACTTCCAAATACCATCCCATTGGATGAATTTTGGGGTTACACAAACATTCAGTCTACAGCAGACATTCATATACAAAAAAATACCCTTACCTCACATCATATACAAAACATGAATTAAAAATGGTTCATAAATCAAAATGTAAAACCCAAAATTATAAAAACTTCATTTAGAAATAAGAAAAACTAGAACAGATTGTAGTTGCATAGTTTAAGCAAGTGAAATCTTTGACCATGAAATACAGTGTAATAGTTACATTTCAGTATATCTTTATCAGGTTGAGGAAGTTCTCATTTTGTCAAATGCTTTTTCTTTGCCTAGTGAGATGATTTTCCCTTTATTGTATTAATATGGCATTTCATGTTGATTGATAGTCAGAGGTCAAACTAGCCTTGCATTCGTGGGGTGAATTGCACTTGGTTAGGGCATCCTTTATATATGATGCTGAATTATTCTGCTAGTATTTTACAGAGGAATTTTGTGTCTATATCCATCAAGTTTTGTGTGTGTGGTGTGTGTGTGTGATATTTTTATCTGGTTTGGTATCAGGGTAATGCTAACATCAGACAATGTATTGAGAAGTGGCCTCTCTTCTATTTTTGTAAGAATATAAAATGTTTGTTATTAATTTTTCTTTAAAAGATTGGTAGAATAAACCAGTGAAGCTGACTGGGCCTGGGCTTTTCTTTGTGAGGTTTTTTGATTACTAATTCAATCTGTACTTGATATAGGACTACTCAGATTTTATAATTCTTCCTGAATCAGTTTCAGTATATATACCTTTTTTAGAAAATGTCCACTCCTTCTAGGTTATCTAATTTGTTAATATGTAATTATTCACAGCATTTCTTAAAATCCTTTTCATTTCTGTAAGGGCAGTAGTGATGTCCCCACTTTTATTCCTGATTTTAGTAATGAAAGTCTTCTTGCTTTTTCTTAGTGAGAGTATGAAATTTAGTTGATCTTTTTAAAGAACCTATTTCCATTTCATTGATGGTCTCTATTGTATTCCTGTACTCTATTACATTTATTTCCACTCTAATCTTTATTATTTCCTTCCTCTGTTTGCTTTGGTTTAATTTGTTCTACTTTTTTCAGTAACTATATTAAGCCATAAAATAAGTCTCAAAATATTAAAAGGATTTAAATCAAACAAAACATGTTCTACAACCAAAATGGCATGAAATTAGAAATACGTAACATGAGGACATTTTGGGAATTAATAAATATATTGGAAATAAAAAATACACTCCTAAATAATCAATGGGTCAAAAAAAGAAAACAAAAGGAAAATTACACAATAATTTGAGATTAAAGAAAACAAAAACAGTACATACCAAAACTTATGGGATGCAGCTAAAGCAGAGCTTAAAGGAAAAATTGTAGCTATAAATACCCATATTTTAAAAAGAATAAAGATCTCAATAACCTAATCTTTCACCTTAAGAAACCATGAAAAGAATACCAAGCTAAACACAAACCAAGTAGAAGAAAGGAAATAATAAAGATTAGAGCAGAAATTAATGAGATGGAGAACACAAAAATAATTGAGAAAATCAATGAGATCAAAATTTGTTTCTTTGAAAAGAATAACAAAAACAACACATCATTAACCACACTGACCAAGAAAGAGAAAAAAGTGAGAAGATTCACATTGCTAAAATCAGGAATGAAAGAGGGGACATTGCTACCAAATTGACACAAATAAAAAGGACTGTAAGTCAATACTACAGACAATTTTATGATAATGTATTGGATAACCTAGATGAAATAGACATTCCTAGAAAGATACAAATTACCAACACTGAGTCAAGAAGAAATACAAAGTCTGAATAGACCTATAACAAGTAAAGAGATGGATTTAGTTATTAAAAACAAACAAACAAAAACTTTCTGCAAAGAAAATCTCAGGACCAGAGGGCTGCACTTGTGAATTTTATTATGATATTGTGATTTATAATAAGAAATATATATTTGGATTTTGTCCTATTCCTAGTACAGAGCTCCTAAAATCCTTGGAATTTCCTAAGTGATGAGAGCAATAAAAGTGTCTTGTTATTCATAACAAGCCCTTTTCAACCACATCAGGCTTTATATCAATGAGGTGACCTCTAGAAAGCCCCTATGTAACTTAAAGATGGGGGCTGATTGCCAGGGGAACCAACCATAATTTGAGCAGTGGAACTTTCAGTTCCTCCCTGCCTCCCCTCACCTCACTTCAGGGGAGGAGAGGGTCTGGAGGTTGAGTTAATTGCCAACATCCAATGACTTAATCAATCATGCTTATGTAATGAAACTTCCATAAAAATCCCTGAACTATGGAGTTCAGGGAGCTTCCCAGTTGGTAAATACTTGGAGGTGCTGGGAGAGTGGCTCTCCTGGAGAAGGCATGGAAGCTCCACACTCCCTCTCATACTTTGCCCTATACATGTCTTCCATTTGGCTGTTCCTGAGTTATATTCTTTTATAATAAACTGTTAATCTAGTAAGTAAAATATTTTCCTGAGTTCTGTTAGCTGCCCTAGCAAACTGTTGAACTTGAGGAGGAGAAGATGAGAACCTCCAATCTATAGCCAGTTGGTACAG